TACAATTGTGCAGGCTGTTCCAGTTTACTGAAGGAACAAATCTGACAATGGCAGAATATTCTGAATTTCTCTGCAGGATTGGCTACCTTGGGAAGTCGGATCTGGCCATGGTGGTCCACGCTCTTGTTACATCCCGGATAGATTACTGCAATGCACTCTACGTGGGGTTGCCTTTGAAGACTGTTTGGAAACTTCAATTAGTCCAGCAGGAGGCAGCCAGACTGCTTACCGGAGCATCATACAGGGAGCATACCACCCCCCTGTTATGTCAGCTCCACTGGCTGCCGATCCAGTTCCGAGCACAATTCAAAGTGCTGGTTTTGACCTACAAAACCCTATACGGTTCCGGCCCAGCGTATCTGTCCGAACGCATCTCCCTCTACGTCCCACCTCGGAGTTTGAGATCCTCTGGGGAGGGCCCTGCTCTCGGTCCCGCCTCTGTCACAAGTGAGATTGGTGGGGACGAGGAGCAGGGCCTTCTCAGTGGTGGCTCTTCACCTATGGAATTCACTCCCCGGGGAAATTAGATCAGCAACATCCCTCCTCTCCTTCAGAAAGAAATTAAAAACATGGATGTGGGACCAGGCGTTTGGGCAATCTGGCAGATGAATAAAGGACTGTGACGATGGATAGGAATGGACAATGTGGAACGAAATATGGACTCTGAGTTGGCGAACGCTGTGTCTGAGATTGGCTATCGATTGTGAGATATATTGTTGTTTTAATTGTTTTAATTGTGGACCATTTAATTGCTGTTTTTATATGTTATTGTATTTGTGTGGGCACTAAGATGTGCCTTTTTGTAAGCCGCCCTGAGTCCCCTCTCGGGGGTTGAGAAGGGCGGGGTAGAAGTATACGAAATAAATAAATAAATAAATAAAGTTGATTAATATTATTATGTTTATTTATACCCCACATTCTTTTTCCATATGGAGACTCAAATTAATACAGACTTAAAAAGCGGAGAAGCTGTTTGGGTAAAGCAAGCTGATTGGTGATAAATTTTGGAAAAGGGGGGGCTTTAAATGGCAGCATTGGGAAGAAAACTGACTGAAGGAAAAGTGGAAGGCATAACAAAGTACCTGAAAGAGAGCTAGAAAAATGGTGTCAGCTCTTGGTGTCTCCAAATAGCCCTTCATGTCTCTACGGACCTTATTACATTAGGAAATACTCCGTTTCTGAGACAGTTTGAGAATAATTTTGAACGGGTCTCATCACATGGCATTTGCCCCATCCACAGATCCTTTAGTTGCTGAAGAGTTGTTTTTGTGTGTGATAGGAAAATCTGTATGCATCCTATCAGCAATGATACAACATGTCATCTGTGGGCAGAGTCTCATGAGCACAGACTTTTCATGATAGAAGCAACTACCATTTCTATTTTGGACATTGAAGACTGAGTATCAAGCAAAAATGGCAAGAAATGAAATCTAGAAAGAAATGGCTTGATAATTTCAAGAAATATTGAGCAATTTGGAAGGGCTGTTAGAGGCATGTTTCCTCCATTTCTGATTTTAGTCAATATTGACCTACAGCTTCATCAGACAGGGTACTTTTCAGTGCCATGCACCGGTTCCTCTATAGTTTTATGATGGAGCCTGCTGGGTTCCATCCCACAATGTTAAGCTACTTGTGGTGGGGCTCCATCATAAAACTGTAGAGGAACTGGAGACTTCCTGTGTGAGAATCATAGAATCATAGAATCAAAGAGTTGGAAGAGACCTCTGGGCCATCCAGTCCAACCCCATTCTGCCAAGAAGCAGGAATATTGCATTCAAATCACCCCTGACAGATGGCCATCCAGCCTCTGTTTAAAAGCTTCCAAAGAAGGAGCCTCCACCACACTCCGGGGCAGAGAGTTCCACTGCTGAACAGCTCTCACAGTCAGGAAGTTCTTCCTTATGTTCAGATGGAATCTCCTCTCTTGTAGTTTGAAGCCATTGTTCCGCGTCCTAGTCTCCAAGGAAGCAGAAAACAAGCTTGCTCCCTCCTCCCTGTGGCTTCCTCTCACATATTGATACATGGCTATCATATCTCCTCTCAGCCTTCTCTTCTTCAGGCTAAACATGCCCAGCTCCTTAAGCCGCTCCTCATAGGGCTTGTTCTCCAGACCCTTTATCATTTTAATCGCCCTCCTCTGGACACATTCCAGCTTGTCAATATCTCTCTTGAATTGTGGTGCCCAGAATTGGACACAATATTCCAGGTGTGGTCTAACCAAAGCAGAATAGAGGGGTAGCATTACTTCCCTAGATCTAGACCCTATGCTCCTATTGATGCAGGCCAAAATCCCATTGGCTTTTTTTGCCGCCACATCACATTGTTGGCTCATGTTTAACTTGTTGTCCATGAGGACTCCAAGATCTTTTTCACACGTACTGCTCTCGAGCCAGGCATCCCCCATTCTGTATCTTTGCATTTCGTTTTTCCTGCCAAAGTGGAGTATCTTGCATTTGTCCCTGTTGAACTTCATTTTGTTAATTTTGGTCCATCTCTCTAATCTGTCAAGATCGTTTTGAATCCTGCTCCTGTCCTCTGGAGTATTGGCTATCCCTCCCAATTTGGTGTCGTCTGCAAACTTGATGATCCTGCCTTCTAACCCTTCATCTAAGTCATTAATAAAGATGTTGAACAGGACCGGGCCCAGGAGAACCCTGTGGCACTCCGCTCGTCACTTCTTTCCAAGATGAAGAGGAAGCATTGGTGAGCACCCTCTGGGTTCGTCCATTTAACCAATTACAGATCCACCTCACCGTAGTTTTGCCTAGCCCACATTGGACTAGTTTCCTTGCCAGAAGGTCATGGGGGACCTTGTCGAAGGCCTTACTGAAATCCAGGTACGCTACATCCACGGCATTCCCTGCATCTACCAATTGGAATCAATTAGGGGAAGCCGGGTGGTGGATGTTTCCCCCTGTGGGATGAGGTAGGGGGAAAACCAGGCAATGTACATATATCTAAATGACTAGACAACTTTGGCAGTTTAAACCAGACCAATCATTTCCATATTAAATCACATAATGAGCACCTCTATAAATGCTACAAAACAATCCTAAGTAGGGTCTAAATATAATCACGGAATTACCATTGAACCACAAGATAAGAATCTGCAAAATCTGTACTCATTTCCCTGAGCTCTGAGATAATGGAGTTAAACAGCCTTTTCCCCATTCAACAGATCCTAAAGACCAGATAAAGCTGGTCTTTAAGATCTCTGGTCCATTATAATAGCTTATATTTGATGTATTGTGCTTATGAAGCCAGTTTGCTTGCGATACACTTTTATTCTTTCCATTTTAAAATGCTCCAGTGTGTAATAATGAATAACATGTTTTCTTATATTGGATTAAAGAAGACTGTACATTATGAACCAGATTGCATAATTGTGGTCATTTTCCACACAGCAGGAAACAAAACAATCTTTTGTTTTACCGCTAAAGCATACACTGTTTCAACTAGTTTCAATTAAAGCTATCTAAAAGTGCTGTTCAGAGACTTTTTCAAATTATTTTAATGATGGCAGATGTTTCTTCAACACCCACAGTCAGACATCTTGAACATCAAGCAATACACTTCCAATTTGTTTTCAATATTAGAAAAAAAATTATGTACTCTGGGGCCACCATTTCCATTCAAATTCTAACCACACCCAATGTGCTCCTGACAACTCTGGATAACACCAAGGCGATACTATTTAAAGTAGAACACATCATTAAATCAAAGAACAGTAGAATTGTACACTGGCTAGGATTTGAGAGCACAATTCCTGGACAGAGCCTGACAGATCCCTTCACACAAAGCACAACTATTTCCAGTGGGGCTTCATTATTATTGTTATTATTATTATTAGCTTTATTTGTACCCCGCTAACATCTCCCAAATGACTCAATGCGACTTACAAAGGCCAAGGCCCTCAATAAAACAACAGCATAACAAATACAACCATAAAACTTATAAAGCAAACCAATAAACATTAAAGCAATAACAATAAAACATTAAAAACAATACATCATAACACATTTAAAACCAGGGCCAGGCGAAATGTAATGACTAAAATTAAAAGTGCTGGACATGACAGGTGAAATGTAAGGATTTTAGGGTAGGTGCGATGTGCAGGCAATCTTAAATCTCTAGTAAAGTGCGTTTGGGACATGATGCTGGGAGTTTCCTATTCTGGAAAGGCACACTGGAACAGCCAGGTCTTCAAGCTCTTCCTAAAGACTGCCAACGTTGGGGCTTGTCTGATGTCCTTGGGGAGAGAGTTCCAGAGTCGGGGGGCTACCACAGAGAAGGCCCTGTCCCTTGTCCCCACCAAACGCGCTTGCGACGCAGGTGGGATCGTGAGCAGGGCCTCTCCAGATGAACGGAGGGATCGTGTGGGTTCATATACGGAGATGCGGTAGGCGGGTCCCAAACCATTTAGGGCTTTGTAGGTGAGCACCTGCACCTTGAATTGGGACCGGAAAATGAACGGCACCCAATGGAGCTCCTTAAACAGGAGGGTTGACCTCTCTCTGTAAGGAGCACCAGTTAACAACCTGGCCACCCGTTGGACCAGTTGGAATTTCCGAGCCGTTTTCAAGGGCAGCTCCACATAGAGCGCATTACAGTAGTCCAATCTAGAAGTGACCAAGGCATGGACCACCCCGGCCAGATCAGCCTTTACAAGGTACGGTCGCAGTTGGTGAACGAGTCTCAATTGTGCAAAAGCCCTCCAGGCCACCGCTGACACCTGAGCCTCAAGCGTAAGTGATGAATCCAGGAGGACTCCCAAACTGCGGACCTGTGACTTCAGGGGGAGTGTAACCCCATCCAGCACAGGTTGCCACCCTATACCCCTATCTGGTTTACGATTGACCAGGAGGACCTCTGTCTTGTCGGGATTGATCTTCAGCTTGTTCATCCTCATCCATACAGCCACAGCAGTCAGGCACTCGTCTAGCGTTCAGGCTTCATCCCTGAACTGTGCTGCCAGTGTCCTATGTCAGAGCAAGGGGAACATGGGAGGCTTTCCATGTTCTCTTTGCCAGCAACAGGGACAGTTTGGGAAGAAGCTGGGCAATGAATCTTTCCCCCATGCGATGGGCAAGACGGTGCTGCAGATGATGCGGGGCATGGGGCAACAGATTCCCATGCTGCCCCATGGATTCACCGCAATGCCCAGCAAATTCCCCTGTTGTCACCTACATTAGACAACAAAATATGATGAGAGCCTTTGTCTCTAAGAAGTCCTCTTAGAATGCTACCACCATTACCCCACTACTATTGCTGTTTGTGATTGGCACATTTAGGACCTCATCACATTGGGAAAATTCCCCATTGTAAAACACTTTGCCCATGCAGCCAGAACATTGCCCACTGAATCTCAACACATGATGCACAGCTACTCCCAGTGGGGCTCCATGCCAGCTGCATCAGCGAAGTGTTCTATGAGGGGGAATTCTGAACACGGGAGATTACTTGTGTTCAGATAGAAAATCATAGAGACAGCATGGGAGCATGTCAGAAAGGTATGCTTTCTGGCTGTGATGGGCAAGCAGATGATGAAGGTGATGTGGGGTGCTGGGCAACAGGTTTGCTCACTGTCCCACAATTTGCCCCACTGCCATATGGATCTCCCCACTGTCCCTCGCATCAAGGACCTCCATGTGATGAGGTCCTTAGTGTGTCCCCTTGCAAAATCTTGCCTGATCTTATATCAGGACTGTTGTTATTGGCATAATCTCTTGCTTCCGAGGAGAACACAATCCCACCACAATGGAAAATAGTGCCATTGGGGGAAGCACATATGTGTATGTTATTATTATTTTTTAAATAGAAAATAATATCAGAGGGCTTTCAAAATGTCCTGCTCCATAATTGATTTCTTGTGGTCATTGGGGGTGAGGGTAGAAATAATTAGGAAGAAAAGGGAATTGAAGGCCATTCATATTTCAGAAGAATTTTTAAAAGTTTGACCAAATGTGATTTTATTAGTTTCTTGGTCTTCAGCACTAGTTGTACCTGGAGCCCCCGGTGGCGCAGTGGGTTAAACCCCTGTGCTGGCAGGAGTGAAGACCGACAGGTCGCAGGTTCGAATCCGGGGAGAGGCGGATGAGCTCCCTCTATCAGCTCCAGCTCCTCATGCGGGGACATGAGAGAAGCCTCCCACAAGGATGATAAAACATCAAAATCATCCAGGCATCCCCTGGGCAACGTCCTTGCAGCCAATTCTCTCACAACAGGAGTAACTCCTGACACGACTATATATATATATATATATATATATATATATATATATATATATATATATATCTTACTTAAATGTTACGTGGAAAATGTTACAGTGGAAAAAATGCCTCTCATGCACTGCCAAGAAATTTCTTATTCATAGATTAGATCAATTGTAGAAATTATTAGTAAGGATTTTTAAATAGCTCATACGAGTTGTAGCACAAACACATCATTTGTGTTCATTAGCTGAAGGTGAATAGTTGATAATTGATAGTAGCATTTTGTTTTAGGTCAAACACAGCAGAGAAAAGTGAATTGGATTCTGAAAAACTGCATTGATTTGACCATAATTTGTCTTTGAATAGCTTTTATTTATTTAGTATCAAAAGCAATGCATAAATAAGTATAAATTGGTTAAAATACGTAGAAGGAGCACTAGCGGCTATATATTTTTGACCAGAAATGGGCAACAGTGGCAGCTTTGTCTGTAGCTTTAAACAAACCTTCCTTTGTACATGTGGCAGGATATTGTCGACAAGCATACAGGTGAAGAGTTGTTTGTTTTGCTCCACAGTCACACAAGGTGGAGGAGTCTTTTAGATAGTGCCATTTTACTAGGTTGTCTTTTGATCTGTCCACTCTGCTTCTGAGTCTGTTCAGGGACTTCCATGTTGCCCATTCTTGGTTTGCCCCTGGAGGCAGGACCTTGTGGGGGGCCATCCAATTGGGATTTCCTGGTTTAGCTGCCGAGAGGGATACTCTTGCTGTTGCTGGGGAAACACTAAGAGGAGTGATGGTTCTCATGAAGCTTTTCCTTGATTTGAGTCTAATGGGAGGAAGCTGATAGCCATGCAGTGGATGGCTTTCACAGTGTTCAATGTTATTTCTCTCACAGTTCCCGTCACACATCATGGGGATGGGGAATGCCAGCTAGCTTGTAGAATTAGCAACAGGTGTAGGTTTCTGACATCCTGTGATTATTCTGCAAGTTTCATTCAATGCTATGTTCATCTGCTTCACAAAACAGGCCCACCACACTTGGCAGTTGAGTAAGACAAAGCCAGGGCTGAAGTTGTTATTAATTTTGAGTCTGCATCCCATGTGCTGCCAGTAAGTTTCCGCATGATGTTATTACATGCAACTACTTTGTGCTTGGTATTCATGTGGTGTTTCTTAAATATTAGTGTCCAATCTAAGGTGACACCAAAATATTTACGATGGAAACAGTGTTTGAGCTTTTTGCCTTCCCGGGTAACTTTCAATTTTCTGTTGGCTTCACGGTTGCGCAGGTGGAAAGCACATACTTTTTTTAAATTTTAATTTTATTTTTTTTATTTATTTGGATTGTATACCGTTACTCCCAATTTGTCTCGGAGTGGTTTACAGCAGTAGATTAAAACAATACAATTAACTTTAAAATACAATAAAACAAGAACAGACATAGTCCCGAGTTATTCACCCATCGAAAGCTTGTCGGAAGAGAAAGGTTTTACAGGCTTTCCGAAAAGCAAGTAGGTCTCGGATAGATCGGGTTTCAACTGGCAAGGCATTCCATAAATAAGGGGATACAACCGAGAAGGCCCTCTGCCTAGTAGGCTTGGGTAACCACGGAAAAATTTGGTTCTAAACTCGTTTTGTTTTTAGGGGGCCCTTGCGTTTCGTTTTTTTTAATAATTCCGAAATTTTCCTTTTAAAAATTTCGAAATATACGAAATTTCGTAAATTACGAATCGATTCGTTAATGGCGGACGCGATTGCGCAATATGCTAAAAAAACCCTCCAAATGGGACAGGGGGAACTTCTGAAGCTTCCCTCTCCCTCTGTTGTTGACTGTTGGTGTGATAAAACAAACAACAACCAGTATTAAAAAACTCTAAAATTATAACAGCTAAACAACAGAGAGGAAAAAACCAGGCACAGATTAACACCTCCCAGCAACAGATTTTCCCAGGCTCAGGCAGGCCTTCAAATGCTAATGAAGGTGATCAGCTGAAACATTCACACCTAACTGCAGCAGGGAGGAGCTCCTTGCCCCACCCCAGCCATTCCACAGATATATAAACCCATTGTCCTAATTCCAACAGACCTCACTACCTCTGAGGATGCTTGCCATAGATGCAGGCGAAACGTCAGGAGAAATGCCTCTAGAACATGGCCATACAGCCCGAAAAAACCCACAAGAACCTAGTGATTCCAGCCATGAAAGCCTTCGAACAATACATTGAACAACTACAAAACTTGCACCAAACATGCAAAAATAATTACGAAATAATTACGAAATAATTACAAAATAATAACAAAATAATTATGAAATAAATTGAAAAAATTGTTTCGAATCTAATTTACTCCTCACACTATTCCTGCATGGCTCAATATTGGATCGTAAGCTAATTTAAATACGAATTAATAACGAATTACGAAATTAACGAACGAAACCGCCCAAGCCTACTGCCTAGTAGAGGACAGATCATAAGTCCGGATGTTGGGGACTTCAAGCAAATTTTGGTCTTCGGACCGAAGTAATCTCTGGGGTTGGTAGGGGGATAAGCGGGCCCTCAGGTATGCCGGCCCCAGACCATATAAGGCCTTAAAGGTAACCTTGAAAGTGATCCGGTTCTCAATCGGTAGCCAGTACAGCTGTTGCAAAATTGGGGTGATACGACACCTCGCCGGCACCCCGGCAAGAAGACGAGCCACCTCATTTTGCACCAGCTTCAGTTTCCAGATCACTGACAAAGGAAGGCCAATGTAGAGGGCGTTACAGTAGTCAAGCCTCGAGATGACCGTCACCTGGATCACCGTAGCCAGGTCGTTCCTAGATAGGAAGGGAGCCAGTCGCCTAGCCTGACATAGATGGAAAAACGCAGATCTGCTCACAGCATTATTACTTGTGTCATTATTACTTGTGTCTTGGTAGAGTTAGGCTTCAGGTTGTTATCTTTACAGTAGCTGGAGAGATCTTTCAAGGCATTAGTAAGTTGGTTTTCAACTATTTCAAAGTCTTTTGCTTGTGTTGTTAGGCATTGCTTAAACAGCTGAGAAATGTTCATATATACAAGTTTATCAGTTGATGATAAGGAGACAACTTGTGTCTGTGGATAGATGACTAATTTAACTGCAGACAGGAATTTCATGGTATATTATACACAATGCTTTTCAGTGGAGCAGAACACAACCTTTGCTATTAAGCACACTGAAGCATCACTCCTCAGATAACAGATTTTGGGTGTCATACAATATGATAATTTTTTTAGCTATTTATTTTGTTATTATTAAATTTTATTATGAAATTTTCTACCTCAGATTCCACAATAATGTGGGTTGGCTGGGTAAAAGGAACTACTTGTTCATTTCACTTCAGGAAAAAAATTTCCCAGGTCAATGCTACAGTACAACCAAGTAAATTCACACATGGTGTGCATGAGTGAGAGAGCAAAATGGTGATTGACTGATTTAGAAAATGTACTACTAGTAGTCCCATTAACAAGTCTACTAGTCCAAAACCTGCTCTCTCCTGATTGGCCGAAAAATGAACCATCAAATGCTGGTCGACTATGACTTTTGAAGAAATAAAGATACAGTAGAACCCAATGACACAAATCCATGTACAGGTCCTTGGCTAATTAGGCAAACTATGTAGGTCTACCTCATTAGATAGTCTATTATATATTTTATGGCATTCTGGGGTAAGGGTGGGTATGCACAATGCCGGAGGTGAAGGATGTTTAACTGGAAGCTTCAAATGCTTTTTAAAAGCTTGTCTGTGACTCTTGGGAGCAGCAGTTTAGTCCAGTTAATCAGTAAAGCAGTTAGTAGCCTGAAGCATAAATGTGAGAATTAGATATGAAATTCAAGTGGCTTTAGCACATTAAATAGACTAGAACACTTGAGGAACTGTATTAAGAAAGTGTACATTTTGAAACAATATCTTTCTATACAG